GGGGGGGGGGGGGGGGGGGGGGGGGGGGGGCACGGCGAGCGATTGGAGTTCGCACGCACGCACATATATAAATATACGCATAGACATGCATACGTGTACGCAAAACTGATGGCGAAAGGTATACGCACGCGCGCGCGTTATAAGCATTGCGGAGAATGGATATATGGCGCTACACCGTTTTGCACGCGGATACATGTATATATGTATAAAAAAATATAATAGTTATAATATAATATTCAAAGTGGTAAAAGTCGGTCAACGTGAGTATAATGATAATAATAATTATAAAACAGGGATATAGTTTTTTAGTTGGATTATGTATGTAAGTAGGTGTAGGCGTAGTAGTAGTGATAAAATAAGGATAATGTAATAATAATAATAATATTAATAATAATAATAATAATGATAATAATAATAATAATAATAATCGACGGTTCGTGTACGAACGCTGTACGGACAGAGATGCTAGGCGGCGGCAGCTGACGAAAGGGCGGACGCGAAGACACCGTTTTCCAAAGGACAAATTCCGCCGGAGAAGCGCGAAAGGGTCGGCGAGCGCGGTCTGGTCGCACTGCGCGACCGTAACAGATCCGGAAAAACGCGATTTCCGGCCAGTTCACGGGCCACTACCAGATACCCGCTCGGCGACCTCCGCACGCTGCGGAAATGTTCCTCGTGGAGGACGACGCTTCCCCCCCGCAGCCTCGTACGCCTACCGTCGCCCCAGGGCCTAACCACGTTCGTATACGTGCAGCCGAAATAATAATATTAATAATAATAAAAACGGCACCCTTCCCGACGAGCAACCGACCGGGAGGAGTGCACCGGTTAACGCGGACCAAAACTAATCCTACAAATAACATAATAATAATAATAATAATGATTACGATATAATAAAATAATATACGAGAATTATATGAATAATTAATAATAAATCGAGTAAAAACGTTTTACGGGCCGTTGTATGCAGTTGGGTTTCTTGAAATCGTTCGTATTGTTGACCGCGCGCGCGAGAAGAGAGTTGAGAGCGTGTGATAGGGGACAAGAGAGAGACGCGATTGGAGAAGAGAGTGAACGTACGACATACACAATATAGGAATGATGATTAGTAAGTAGTGCCTATTACAAAGACGTATTAAGCAAAAGTTCAGAACATCAGAATAATATTATAGATAATAATTGTCTGTAAAACGAACGCAGTTAAGTTGTAAAAAAAAATAAAAAAAAA